TATAATGAGATCCCTTTGCAACGTCACTAGGGGAGCGAAATCAGACGCGCTTGTTTTCTCAGACACTTGCAGAAAAAGGCTTCCCAAAACAAAGTTACTGGGTTAATCTTTTTCACGTTTCCTTGGTTGCTAGATGCACCGGAGACCTGATTATAGCACTTACAACCTGGAAAAGTCAGATTTTCATGATATGTCACCTTTAAAACTATTTTAATGCAGAAAGGCCTCACCGGAAATATCTTCTGGTAAAATTATGCCGCCATATTAGTGAGGTCAGCCGGTGTCCACTGCGCATGCGCGACGCATAGAAGCGCGTTACCCGACAGCATAAACATGAAAGATCGTTAAAGAGCGCTGTTTTAAACACGATTTAACCGTGTCATGCTTCCAGATGAGTTATTTAAATTATCCGGCGTGAGTTTGGTCTTACTGTGGATCTGCTGGTTTGCTAATAATCGATTTTGAAGGGAAGAACAGAGAAGCGCGAACGCCTCAGAACTTCAGGTTTGTTTAATGTTTTTCAGTCAGAGCTTATTTCTTCTTCTTCTTCTTCTTGTTAGTTTTATGGCGGATTGCAACCTCACTCCAGCATCTGGACCTGAGTCAGAACCAGCTGCAGGTCCTGCCCGCTCGCTTCTGTCAGCTGCAGCAGCTGGTCAACCTCAAGCTGGACCAGAACAAGCTCCTGCGGCTGCCTTTCCACATCGGCCGGCTCTCCAAGCTGCGCTTCCTGTCCGCCGCTCACAACCAGCTCACCGTACTTCCTGCCAGCTTCAGAAAGCTGTGCCTGGAGAACCTGGACCTGTTTGGAAACCCGTTTGCTCAAGCCAACGCTCTGGAGCACACGATCCGGCTCACGTTCCCGCTGAGGCTGCAGGAGCTAGCGTCCCGCGCCGTGGTGGAGCTCAGGTGAGGCCCGTTCCGCTGCACAAACGTCACGGTTCAGTAAAAAACTAAACAAACTGCTTTATTTAACAATGGTTTACTGAATAAATTGCTCTTTAAATAAATTCAATTATAATTACTTTTCTTCGGGATATAAATCTACCTCAGCTTCTGCTGTAAACTATAGGGAGCCCTTTTACATTACTATAAGGTTACAATTAACTACAGAGCCAGAAACTTTAATTCAATTACTATTTATTCTAAACTAGTGCTGTCACATGATTAATCGCATCCAAAATAAAAGTTTGTTTACATAATATATGTGTGTACTGTGTATATTTATGTATATCTAAATACACACACACATGCATGTATATTTAATAAAAATGTTGTTTAAATCTTTTTATTAATGTATTCAATGAAACAATCCAATAGTTATTGTTACATACCATGATTTCAGTTATTTATATATATATATATATATATACACATACAAACCTAAATAACACACAAAAAAACTGAACATACAAGCACAACAAACATTTATGGTACAAAACAAAACAACCCCTTACCTCCCTCCCCACCCTAGGTACTTAAATCATACCACACTAATGGTGCGGTCAACACCGCATGATTACTCAGCCTGCATTATCAAGATATAGGAGAAGAAAAAACCAAATCTTAACAAATTTATCCAATTTATTTACCAAAAGGAATCGAATTTTTTCCAAATGTAGTACCTTAATCATTTCTTCCAACCAAAGTTTAGCTGATGGGGTTTCTGTCGTTTTCCAAAACCTTAGGATAAGTTTCTTTGCCACAATAAGTCCATAGGACAGCAACTGTTGTTCAGATTTTTTAAGCAACCCAGGCAACGATTAGTTCTGTGAAACAAAGCAAAACCAATGTTACATCGTGTCTATGGACGTGAGCGGCGCGGTGCAACAAATACACGCCCCTTATTGCTGATTGGCTACAAGTTTGTTTTGCGATTCGGCCTGAATCAGTTTTCTAAAGTGTTTTTGAAAAATCACATACCCTGCCTTTAACTTAGAACAAAGAACATAACTATGCAAGGGAGTGGCTACATCAGTCTGACATTTGTCACAATATGGGGAGACATCTGGAAAAAGTCTATGTAATTTTGTTTTAGTATAATGGAGTCAATGGATAATCTTAAATTGAATAAGGCAATGCCTAGAGTTGACAGAGCATGTATGAATATTCTCTAGTGCATCAGCCCAGGATTCTGAACATATCTCCTCCCGCAATTCTTGCTCCCACTGCAATTTTAAACTCTCTGTAGAAGGTAAGTTCTTTGACAACAATGAGTTGTACAGTAAAGATATCAGATGACTGACCCCACCTCCAAGCCCCAAGAGATCATCCAAACTAGCAGGAGTAGCCTCATTAAGAAAGGGTATGTGCTTTCTTACGTAATCCCTAATCTGCAAATATCTAAAAAAAGTTACTTGCATGCAAACCATATTGATTCTGTAGCTGTCTAAAGGAGGCAAAAGTGCCTTTTATGAATAGGTTTCCAACAGTCTGAAGACCTAAGTCCCTCCATTTTGTAAAAGCAGCATCCATAGTAGAAGGGATAAATGAAGGGTTCCCGCTGATTGGTAAAAGGAAAGACAATGGCTTTATTGCAAATTTTGATTTGATCTGCTTCCAAATACGAATTGTACTATGAATTATACAGTTATGGCTATGTACTGACTTGTCTATCTTTATAGGAGGCAGTATGACTGCACCAATATCATATGGTCTACATACCTCTCTTTCCATTTGGATGCAAGTTGAGTGTGCTACCGTATGGTCTAGCCACATTATGATGGTCTGAATAGCACAAGCATAGTAGTAAAGGGCAAAATTTGGAAGTGCCATTCCACCGACAGCTTTAGATTTACAAAGGTGTGCTTTACTTATTCTATGGGCTTTATAATCCCACAAAAAGGGTATAATAATGGAATCTAGTTGTTTAAAAAAAATCTTTGGTAAAAATATTGGGTTGTTTTGAAAAAGAAAGAATTTGTGGGAGAAATATCATTTTAATAATATTAACCCTTCCTATTAAAGAAATAGGCAGGGATCCCCAGAACTGAATATTATTTTGCAGTTTAGTCACTAAAGTGGGGAAATTAGCTTTAAATAATGACTGAAAATCTTTTGTGACCTCAATTCCTAAATATGTAAGTTTATATTGCGTTATTTTAAATGGGAAGGTTTGGAGAACGGAAATATCTCTGACCTTTTATAGACATTAATTCACCCTGTAACCTGAAAATACACCGTAATGACAAACCGTTTAAGTTTCTTTGCCACAATAAGTCCATAGGACAGCAACTGTTGTTCAGATTTTTTAAGTGACATGATTTTATCAGAAATTCCAAATATCACAAGAAGTGGGTCGGGCTCTAATACACGGTGTAAAATATCTGACAGAGTTTTAAATACTTCAGTCCAGAATGAGATTAACTTAGAACAAAGAACATAACTATGCAAGGGAGTGGCTACATCAGTCTGACATTTGTCACAATATGGGGAGACATCTGGAAAAAGTCTATGTAATTTTGTTTTAGTATAATGGAGTCGATGGATAATCTTAAATTGTATAAGGCAATGCCTAGAGTTGACAGAGCATGTATGAATATTCTCTAGTGCGTCAGCCCAGGATTCTGAACATATCTCCTCCCCCAATTCTTGCTCCCACTGCAATTTTAAACTCTCTGTAGAAGGTAAGTTCTTTGACAACAATGAGTTGTACAGTAAAGATATCAGATGACTGACCCCACCTCCAAGCCCCAAGAGATCATCCAAACTAGCAGGAGTAGCCTCATTAAGACAGGGTATGTACTTTCTTACGTAATCCCTAATCTGCAAATATCTAAAAAAGTTACTTGCATGCAAACCATATTGGTCTAAAGGAGGCAAAAGTGCCATCTATGAATAGGTTTCCAATAGTCTGAAGACCTAAGTCCCTCCATTTTGTAAAAGCAGCATCCATAGTAGAAGGGATAAATGAAGGGTTCCCGCTGATTGGTAAAAGGAAAGACAATGGCTTTATTGCAAATTTTGATTTGATCTGCTTCCAAATACGAATTGTACTATGAATTATACAGTTATGGCTATATACTGACTTGTCTATCTTTATAGGAGACAGTATGACTGCACCAATATCATATGGTCTACATACCTCTCTTTCCATTTGGATCCAAGTTGAGTGTGCTACCGTATGGTCTAGCCACATTATGATGGTCTGAAGAGAACCAGCATAGTAGTAATGGGCAAAATTTGGAAGTGCCATTCCACCGACAGCTTTAGATTTACAAAGGTGTGCTTTACTTATTCTATGGGCTTTATAATCCCACAAAAAGGGTATAATAATGGAATCTAGTTGTTTAAAAAAAATCTTTGGTAAAAATATTGGGATGTTTTGAAAAAGATAAAGAATTTGTGGGAGAAAGATCATTTTAATAATATTAACCCTTCCTATTAAAGAAATAGGCAGGGATCTCCAGAACTGAATATTATTTTGCAGTTTAGTCACTAAAGGGGGGAAATTAGCTTTAAATAATGACTGAAAATCTTTTGTGACCTCAATTCCTAAATATGTAAGTTTATATTGCGTTATTTTAAATGGGAAGGTTTGGAGAACGGAAATATCTCTGACCTTTTATAGACATTAATTCACCCTGTAACCTGAAAATACACCGTAATGACAAACCGTTTCTAAGATTATTGAAATAGTAGACTGAGGTTTAGTGATATATAACAGGATATCATCAGCATATAATGATATTTTGCTTACTGTATTCTTTGTGCTATATCCAGATTATATATAGACTGTGCAAGGGGCTCAAGGGCCAGGGCGAAGAGTAGAGGGGATAGTGAACAGCCCGCTCTAGAACCTCTATATAGACAGAAAGGAGGAGAAAGAATTATATTAGTAAGAATCCTTGCACATGGCTTGTGATAGAGAATTCTTATCCACTTTTCAAAATTATCGCCAATTTCACATTTTCTTAGGGCTGCGAAAAGATAAGACCATTCTAACTGGTCAAAAGCTTTCTCTGCATCAAGAGAAACAATGACCAGATCATCTATGTGTGTGTTTTGAGAGTAAATTATATTAAAAAGACGTCTGAGATTTGAAGACGAGTGCCTATTAGGAATAAACCCTGTCTGATCGGGATGAATAAGTTTGTCCATTACAGAACTAAGTCTAATAGATAAAGCCTTAGCCAGGATTTTTTGGTCACATGGCAAAAGTGATATTGGCCTATAGCTACTTACTTCTACTGGATCCTTCCCTTTCTTAGGTAAGACTGTTATGATGGCTTCATTTAAAGTGGGAGGTAACCTGCCAACATTATATGCTTGAGTGTACATTTTGAATAGATGAGGTGAGAGCAGATCGCCAAATTCTTTATAAAACTCACTGGAATAGCCGTCTGGGCCAGGGGCTTTCCCACATTTCATTGTCTTGATAGTATCTAATATTTCTGAAACCGAGAGCGCAGCATTGAGGGCATTACGATCTTCCTGGACTAAAGTGAGAAGGTCACAACTGTCCAAGAAGTTTTTGACAACTAGATCATCATTTAAGGACCTAGAAGAGTTTAATTCTTCGTAGAATTGTTTGAATCTCTCATTGATTTCATTGTGATGTTAAAATGTTTTAATAAAAATGTTACGTTTATATTAAATATATTTATATAAAATATAAGAATATGAATATATAAGTATAAACGTAAATATTTTCAAAATATATACTGTATGTGTGTGTTTATATATACATAATAAATATACACCGTAAACATATATATATAATGTAAACAAAAACTTATTTTGGATGCGATTAATCATGTGACGGCACTAATAATAAACACTCAAATTAACAAATTGTATGCAAACATGTAATTTGTTTTTAAATTAACTTCTAAATTATACAATTTCTATTTGTTGTTGAAATATAATATACAGTCATAACTTGTTTCATAAAATATTTATTTAAACATATACATTAAATAATTAATACATCACTAACAGGTAAAGTAAATATAATGAAGTATAGTCTAATACTTCTTGAAATGCTCTTCTCTACACTTGATTTCTCGAGCAAATAACGAGCTGTGGACACTGATGACTTGTCTGAGGTAAATAATGCTACGTGTTCACAAGCTGTTTTAATGACGTCTTTCCGCGGTTGAAGCACTGAGCGATTACGCGAGGGGTGAGATGTTCATTCATGTATATTTCGTGTTAAAACTAGTAATAAAGCGGAAGGGATGATTACGCTGTCGTTAGAACTGAGGCGTTAGTATACAGCGATCTGTCGCGCCGCACCAAACAGTGTCTAAACCGCATTTATTCTCTCAATTTCCTGAAAAATTGGAAGGATTTGTACACCTGCGTACCGAACCGAAAGACCCGTACTGAGAATTTCCGGTAGGAATACGTGTAGCGTTACAGCCCTGCTGCTGTTGCTAACGCTGTTCTTGTCTTGTTCTCTGTGGCAGGATCCCACACGGCCCTCACTCCGTGCCGCTGCACCTGTGTCACCAGCTGGACTTCTCTCAAGCCTGCGACTGCGGCCGGGCCTGTGTGGACTCCTACATCCAGACGGCCGTCAGCTTCAACCTGCACCTGGTGTCTCACACCGTAGTGTTAGTGGACAACATGGGTGGCACCGAGGCTCCGGTGCAGAAGCACTTCTGCTCGCTCATGTGTTACTGTGAGTTCATGGACGGCTGCGTGCAGCGCGACCTCAGATGACCTCACTGCCCTTCTGTTTCACCCTGTTTCAGTCTTTGTTCTCTTTTAGCTCCATGTTTAAGGGTTTGTTCACTGGACAAAGACCTTTAAATTCCAGCATCGCAACATATGTTTTGTGAAATAAATAAAAGTCATTAAAAGAAAGAAAAATTATTTCACATCACAGGTTTCTGTATTTCGTTGTATTTGTTTCGTTTCCTTTATTTCAATCAAGCTTTTTCATTTTTTCCCCCAAAAGGTCAGTCTCTGTTTTAAGTTCATTACTGATTAAAACTAAACAAAGAGTTATATTTTACTCTACATTTAAACATTAAACTTGTGTCTCTGAACTAAAACACAAACTAAATGACTTTTCATGAAAACAAAACTCTAATAACTGTATCACACATCAGTTAGCTAAGAGAAAACTACGTTAAGTGTAACTCCGAGCAGTTCTGGAAGCACAAGGTGTTGTGAGTGCAGATGAAGACGTCAGGCTCGATCTCTCAGAATAACTCTGTTGTGCTCTCGTGGTCTTCTGAAGAACGTCTCGTCTTTGGCTCTTCAGTGTCCTGAGAAGAGCTCGGATCCTCATGATTCTGCTGCTGGTTTATCGGTGCATTATTATCTGTCATCAGCGGCTGGTTTGGAAATAATGCGTTCGACTCTGATTCCTGCGTGTGTTCTGTCTCCGGGGCGCCGCTCACTTCATCTCCACCGTTTGCTGTGATTTCACATTCGCTGGAAGACTTCCACAGAAAACAGTAACGGTTATGCACTATTATCACTAATATCTGCTGCACTACTAGATCAGAAATGATTCAAACTGATAATCCAGTGAATTTGATACATTATATGCACATATGTGAATGTTTTATATAAAATCTCAGTAACACTATTTGATGAATGCTCGACCGGCTGATTGATGTTCGTTTCATCTTTGTCCATTTCTACAGCGCAGATCTGATGTAAATGATCCGGTTCACTGCTGGATCGCTGAGCGTCTGTGGTTCTGATGCTGAAGGCTCAGGCTGTAGTTCTGCTGAGAGGGTTAAAGTACTGCAGTCTGATTTGGGCTCAGGAACTTCCTCTTCAGGCTTTCGATCTGCTTCATCATCCTCATCCTCCTCGCTGCTCTTCATCTCATCACGTCTGATCTGCTGGGATCCTGCGCTCGTCACCGGCCGAACAGGAAGAGTGACCGTCAGCTGTTTCTTAGTTTTGTTGAACTTGGCGTCTCCTTTGTCTTCATCCACGGGATACGAGAGCGGAAGATCCAGTTTGTACGCTGGTTTCTGAGATGCCACGCTGAGCTCGGCGTCTCCAGCGGATCCCAGCAGTGGTAAGTCCACGGTGATGACCATCTCTGTGGGCCGGGCCCCGTGTCTCTGGAGCTCCTGCAGATCCACGACAGAGCCGTGCTTCACGCTGTACTGCGGTGCTGTGGGCCGAATGGAGGATGTTGGTCTGGGTCTGGTTCTGGTTCTGGTCCGGATCTGGTTCTGGTTCTGTCCGGGTCTGGGAACGGCAGCAGGTCCTCACAGGTGTTCTGCTGGTGTCCAGGTATCGGGCTGCGGATCAGTGCCGCCTGCGAAACACCTTTATACTTCATCTTGAGCTGCTTTATGTGGTGTTTCTCCAGCTTGATGTGGAAGGAGTCCTCTAGTCCTCCGATGGCTGTGCTGTGGAGCAGCTTCATGAACCTCCTGCTGTTTCCCGCCAGGTGCAGTGCGCCCGGGTAGAAGATGAAGTCATGAGTCACGCAGCTGTTTCCGGCGTCAGGCTGAACGGTATCTGCCAGCGGTGTCCCGGTGTTCCGCGCCGGTCTCTGGCCGCTTCCCTCGAGGGTTTATCGATCAGTGGATCGGAGCAGATATTGATGAAGAGTTTCCCACGCTGAGAGTTGGTAACTCGCAGAACTTCTCATCTTTAAGAGCTTCTCCGAGCCGACTCATTTCATCACGCATCAGGTTCAGTTCTTCCAGTTTGCTGCCGAAATCCATCGTAAATAACCGACTGTAGTTTACTAGTTTCTGATGAACGCACTGTTACTGTACTCGATTACTGTACTATTACAGTACTATTACTGTACTCTATTACAGTACTCTATTACTGTACTATTAGAGTACTCTATTACTGTGCTATTACAGTACTCTATTACAGTACTCTATTACTGTACTATTAGAGTACTCTATTACTGTACTGCTACAGTACTCTATTACAGTACTCTATTACTGTACTATTACAGTGCTCTGTTACTGTACTGTTACAGTACTCTATTACTGTACTATTACAGTACTCTATTACTGTACTCTATTACTGTACTATTAGAGTACTCTATTACAGTACTCTATTACTGTACTATTACTGTACTCTATTACTGTACTATTACAGTACTCTATTACTGTACTATTACAGTACTATTACTGTACTCTATTACTGTACTCTATTACTGTACTATTACAGTACTCTATGACTCTTTTTTCCGAAATGAAAGCGACTGAAGCTCCGTCAGTAACGCGCACTCGGTAACCATAGAAACCGAGCGCGCACGCCGTCCAGACGCTCTTCGCGTGAGCGCACCGCTCTCATCAGTTCACTATTCTTTTATTTATTACATTTAGTCATTTAGCAGACGGTTTATCCAAAGCGACTTACAAATAATGACAATAGAAGCAATCAAAACTAACAAAAGAGCAATAATATGCAAGTGCTATGACAAGTCTCAGTTAGCTTAAACCTATTCTTCTTATTTATACTAATTAAATGTTAACTAATTTGACTAACTTGTCGTTCCAGAGTCACATTTACCTGTAAATGCCCTTCAGCTGAACAGAAGGAGAAAGTGAGGCGAGTCCTTTTAAGATTTAATTCATCTTTATATTGTTCCCAGAAGGAAACAGCTTCGTTTCAGCACTTACACACAAAACAATCAAATACATATTGTTTCAAATTAGGGCTGTCATCGTTAACGCATGCGATTAATTTTACAATCCTTAGCCCGTTAAAATAATTTAACGCAAAATTACTGAAGCACAATTTCTATTCTAACCCTTTAACCGAGTTTTGCTTCTCTGCTTGCGATCAGATCATTATAAGCTGCTAAGCTCCGGGAAAGTTTTCAGTTTAATGATCCAGCAAGCGAATGCGTTCAAACAATCCGTCCAAAACAGCGCTAATATACAGTAAACCAGGCTGATTACATCAGAGATTGCAGAGAGAACAGAGCCTCGCGTTGCGTTTTCAGTGAATTATTGATTCCAGTGTTTGGCTTTTAAACACGAGCTCTGTCACATTCTGTGATTGTCTCTGAAGAGCGCGAGTCCTCATACGACACACCGCTGTATGTTCAGATGAGACGCAAACTACTGGATAACCGATGTTTGAGAATCACCCTTCAATCTTTTGGTTTACTTTGCTGGATATAGCAAATGATGACAAAATAAACATTTGAAATAAGATAAATGGTCTATGCTTAATTTCATGAAGTGTGTGATTAATCAGATTAAAATTTTTTATGGATTGACAGCCTGATTTCAAATGTTAAAATACTGAATATAAATCTTTTAACAATATTAAACAAAGCTTATAAACAAATTAAATACTAAAAATCACTCCACAGTTTTACACGTTCTGTGAGTTTCTGCTCGGCCTGAAGAAAGTCGTCCTTTTCTGCACAGCGGTTCTCAGTTTTGGAGGTAAACGGAGGATCTGGCGCTGAAAGCTGCTGGCACGGCTTGCGATGAAGTCTTGGCACAATCTGTGGAAACAAATGGCATTAGTCTGTTCTTCAGCGCATGGTTTGTGTGTGTGTGTGATTCTCACCGTATCAGCGGCTGCGGCTGCGTCTGGAACACCAGCGTGTCGTTGCAGTGGCCCTGCAGAACAAACCAGCACAGATTACTGATGTCTGCTGGATTACACTGCACATGAGCAGCACACCACACTCACTTTGTCCACTAAAAGAATATAATCGTGACTTCCTCCAAACACTATAACATCCGAGTCTCTTCCTTGACACGCGGTGTGCCACAGCCTAGAAAACCAGAGTGAAAACCAGCTTGAGAAATAAAACAAATGCTTGCATAGAAATCTGTAGAAAACACAGTCATAACACCCAGGTGAACAACAAGTGCACTTCCATAATGTGCTTAAAGTGCTCTATTTTCACACACTAATTTTGTACTTAATATACTAAAAATGATTCTTTAGTACTAATTAAAATAAACTTAAGATCATCTAAGTGTACTCAACTGCTATTTTGGAACGCCATGAATATGAACTAAAATCCACTAAAATAGCAGTAGAGTACACTCAGACTACATTTAGATGATCTTAAGTTTATCTTAAGAATCATTTTTAGTATATTAAGTACAAAATTAGTACGCAAAAATAAGTACTTTAAGTACATTATGGAAGTGCACTTGTTGTTCACCTGGGTATCTTGTTCTGTCCATCTCATTTCTGCATGTTTCACCAACCGCGGTTTGGCCTTGTTTTGATGCTCCATCTTTGTCCATCCTTTTGTCTCCAGATTAAACATCCAGCCGTCACCTAAGAAAGAAAAAAGGATTGTAGTTTAGTTTTTTAAACTGTACTCTTGTTTAAAGTTTAGTTTCTGCGTGCGGCATACTCATGGGTCTGCAGTCCACACTGAGTCCTCCGAACAGAAAGAGAGACGAGTCCGACACGGCTGTTAGCGTGTGCCATGAGCGTCCCACAGGCGCCAGACCCAACCCAACTCTACAAACACCAGACGAGACAGAGCTTCATGAAGATCACACACTCAGCACTCCAGAGCAGTTCAGCCGGGACAAACGCCTCTTACATTTCTGACCACGTCCATGAATTTAAATCCAGACAAAACACGTCACTTGTTCTCGTTTCCTGCGCAGAGAGCAAACAAGCCGAACATGACAACAGAGATTTTGCACACGCACCTTCTGAAGAACTATAGAAATACACATCACAGTCGCTCTGATGATACAGGATTGTCTAAATGTAAATGTGCTGGCAGTATGTGCACAGTGTGGGCTGTTAAACAGGCAGATATATATGAGGATTGTAAATTATCTGTAGTAAGTTGTCTGTATGAATGCAGGAGAAATGATTTTAAGGGAGCCTCTATAAACACATACGAAGAGTAACTCACCTTTATTCTTCCACCGCACACGTAGCCTTTGCTGCCGATGCTAGCGCTAGCGTGAGCGGCTCGCGGGGGAGGAGCTCGTCCCTGTCAATCATTCACAAACACACTTCATACTGTTTTAAACACATACTCATTTACTTCCTAACTTCATGAGCTGGAAACACATGACTGGAATCATGAAGCTGAATGACTCACGAAGGTCTGCGGTTCGGTCCAGCTGCTTCTCTCCGGATCAAACTCATGAACTTCATTGTTCCATCCCCAGAAGATGTCCTCGGCCTGAAGAGAGAGAAGCGACACTGATATGAATCTTTTTTCATTAGCTCTGCGTTGAGAGGAGTTTCGCAGTGAACACAAACTACCCATGATGCTTCATCCACAATGAAGCTCTTCGGATCGTGGATTGCACTCAGCGGTTTGTGGCCATATCCACCAAAGTAGATGATTCTGTCGGGAGATCCACACTCATATTACACAAATATTACTAAATCAGTTCCCGCATATTCAACAGCATGTGCTGGATGAATTCAGATGCAGAAATGATAACCTTCCTTCATGAACCCAGCAGGAGAGTTTATCTCGTGGCGACGGCAGCGATCCGGACCGAAGCGTCACTCTCCTCCAGCTGAACCTCTCGTCCTGCAGGTCGACGGAGTAAAGCTGAAACAACAGACTCTCGTGAAGCGTGTGGCTTTACTGATGCACCTGAACACAGTGAAGACTGACTGCAGCTTTACTTCATTAGTTTGTCCATCATCACAGCAGCCGCCGAATATAAACAGCTCTTCGTTCACAATGCAGCCGCAGGTCCCAGACATCGCCGGAGGAACCGTCCCACACATGTCCCGCCATTCCCTGTCAAACACAGAAGCAACACATCAAGCCTCTTCACAAATATGACAATCATTCATAGATTCTCAGTGTGTTGGCCCTCAAGTTTAAAGATACCAGTAACACACAGTCAACATGTGTGGACAAACACACTTTTATACTCTACAAACTGTATTTTCTATTGCCCTACACCAACTCTACACAAACACACACACACACACACACACGCTCATACAAACACACTCTCACACACACACACACACACACACGCTCACACAGACACACTCTCACACACACACACACACTCTCTCACACACACACACACACACACTAAACAGCTGCTTGTTGACAGTCACAAATCATTCTTACCATAACCCACTTTCTAAGTCGTACAGCCAGAGCTCATCATTTGGAAGAAAAACTTCATGATCTGCCACCGACTGAAGAGAAATACAGTCACTTTCATCTGTTTAGTTTACAGCACTGATGATAGAAGAAAGGGTTATTACAGTGTTTTTCAGCTGCTTTTTAAAAACTTCACACACAAATCTGAGAACTGCACACAAAATGCAAAATACCTCGCATCTCTTGCAGAATGAAGCGCTGCATTCAGAATATCACAAACACATCTCAAAAACAAACATTTGCAAACAGCTTTGCCATAATATTAATTCCTGCTACACTTCTGTGTGTTACATAGAGAACTGTGTGTTGTGTTTTGCAAAAAGTGTTTTATGAAACTGAAAACTGACTCAAAGTCTGAGATCAGTGTATGGTTTTGTAGATTTGGTGTGTGCTTCTGCTGTTTGAGCGTCAGCTTTCAGAAACAAGAGAAGATTGTGTGTGTAAGCAGCTGAAAAACTGTAAACATGATCTGTTAAATGCTCAACACCGTCCTTATTCGAGCAGAATGGAACATATTAAACTACTGTTTCATGAAAAATGCGAAATATTTATTCTTGGCCTGATTTTTATCATGATTGTTGTTGTTATTATAATGATGATGATGATGATTACCACATAACCGCCCCAGACATACAGATACTGTCCGTCCGCCGCCGCCGTGTGTCCGCTCCTCTCCCGAGCCACCGGCTGCTCTGCACTCATCTCCGTTATCAATATTAGTAACAGTGCTGATATTAATATTATTATGAGCTGACAGCAGCTCGAGTCACGCGCAGAAACACGGGTGAGCGCGAGGAAGCGCTTCTCTCTCGAGTTTTATTTCATCACCTAATTCTATTGCAAACGATCTTATAGGAAATGAAACTACTACAAACAAAACAAACTGTTAATATAGATAAATCTAAGCGTAGCTGAGGAAGTAAACACGGCTTTTATTTTGAAAGGTGTGAGATGTTTACGGAAGCTGTTGGAAAGGAAGCGGAAGCGGAAGTGCAGGTTTGGCGGGAGCAGCTGAAGATGGACGCGCGCAGAGTGAAGCAGAAAGTGAGCGCGGGGTTTAAGATGCGCGGATTAATCCTGCGTCCGTATGTGACTCTCTCTCATGAGTAGATCTCTTCATTCTGACGGGTGACTAGCTTTACTGCGCAGCGATGGGTTTCCTCGCGAGTGATAAAGCGCTAAACTGTGTTCCAGGGAGTCCAGCCGCTTGCTGCTGCGGGTTCTGGAGTCCGTCACTGAAGCGGATCTGGAGGAGGTTCTGGAGCGGATCCTGGACGCTGTCGAGAAACAACCGCGTGAGTCTCACCACATACATACATACATACATACATACATACATACATACATACATACATACATACATACATACATA